TGAACATGGCTCACTGCAGCCTCAACTTCCCAGGCTCAAGTGATCCTTCCACCTCAGCCTCCGAAGTAGCTGGGACTACAGGCACGTGCCACTATGCCCAGCTAATTTTTAAATTTTTGGTAGAGACAGGGGTCTTGCCATATTGCCGAGGCTGGTCTTGAACTTCTGGGCTTAAGTGATCTGCCTGTCTCAGCCTTCCCAAATGCTGGGGTTACAGGTGTGAGCCACCTGCCCTTATTCCTTTTTTGCACCAAAATGTTCTACACCTGAAATGTATCAACAATCCATTCACTACACTCCATCTTTCCACCTCCATCCCCACTGCTATAGAAGAAACCATCAGGAGGGCTCACCAAGAAATAAGTTCCGTGAGTGCAGGGACGTGGTTTTTTGTCTCCATTGTCTCCCCAGGGCCTGGCTGACACACTGTAGATGTTCAGTAAAAATGGACCAAATGAATGAGTTCCTAACTGAAATCAACAAGAATGCTTTGAGCACCTATTCTGTTTTACAGAGAAAATTGTTGACCTTCAACATATTTACTTGCAGGTTTTCTCTGTAAGTATTCCTATAAATACGAATTGGGATCATATGGTATCTCTTTATAGTTTGCTTTATTCTCAACATCTTCCCAAGTTTTAAAAAATTCTTTGAAAATACTTTTATAGCAGGATAATATTCTATTTTATGACATATTTCTTAATCATTTCAAATTGTTAGACAATGAAGTTGTATTTGTTATCTATTGCTGTGTAACAAATTATCCCACAACTCAATGGCTTAAAACACCAAGCATTTAGTAATACTATCTCAGTTTCTGCAGGCCAAGAATTTGGGAGTGGCTCTGGCTCAGGGTTTTTTAGTGCTGCAATTAAGCTATCAGCTGGGCTGTGGCTATCTCAACACTCAGGCAGAGGAAGACCCACTTCCAAGCTCACTCACTTGGCTATTGGCAGAATTCAGCTTCTTGCCAGCTGTTGGCTGGAGACATCAGTTCCTTATTCTATTTATCTATATCTATACATATCTGTATCCCTCTATATAACTATAGATAGAGATATATAAATATATAGACCTATCTATAGATAGATCAATAGATATAGAGATACACACACACACACACACACACACACACACACACAGTGAGAATGAGAGAAAGGTGACCCAAGATGGAATTCACAGTTATTTTGTAATCTAATATTAGAAGTGACCTCCCATTTTGCCTGCTGACTTTCATTTACTAGAAGTGAGTCGCCCTGGCGCTCCTCTCTCCCCCCAGCCCAACACGCTGTGCCCTCACACTGCCAGGCCCCCTCCTGTCAGGGAGAACAGTGTCCAATAAACTCCTCCACCCACGGGCTTCCTGAGCTTCGACAACCCGGCCAGCGCGCAGACCGCCATCCAGGCCATGAATAGCTTCCAGGTCAGCATGAAGAGGCTCCAGGTGCAGCTGAAGTGGTCCAAAGGTGCCAATCGCCTGGACTGAACACCTGCGGGAGCGTCTCCCACGGGAGAGCAGGACTCGAACAGGGCAGGATGACGAACGGGCTCCATTTAAAAACCTGTACATGTATACCGGAACTTCAAACCAAATTAAATAAATAAACCTCTCTCTCTATTTATATATGAGAACTGTTGGATGACACCCTTGACATATCAGCCAATATCAATGAAGCTGAAGACTCCAGACACTGTCTGTGTGACTGTAACATTTCTTCAAGAAAAAGATAGCATCTATGGAGTTCAGAGGGCACGTTTGGGGGAAATATATATGACATAAAGAAGAAGAGGATGAAGAAAAATGAAAAAAATTAAAAAAACCACACGCACACACGGCAACTTTAAAACAAAATAACATAAGACCAGACGTGAGGCTGAAGGGCTGGGAACTGGGAGGAGATGCTGCTTTTCTAGCCTACAAGCACCTGAACCAGGCCCGGGGCACAGGGGATAGCTGGGAGGCCACTGAGCATCTCTATCTCTTCTTCCTTCAGCTATTTAGGGACCAAAGGACCAGACTTTTTATTGCAGCTCTATGTGTAGCCCTGTGTCAAATGGAGGGGGAATGGAGGACAACCCCCTTCCTGCCTCATGGCTGTTCTTGACACAGCTTAGAGCGATTCTACAAAAAATGTAATAAAAAATTTAAAAATAAAAGGAAAAACAACGTATCACTGCTTTTAAAACAGCAAGATAATAGTGCTTTGATAATTAGAGAGGCGCTTTGATGACCCTCATCCAAGTTTATGAGACTTTCCTAAGGTTTTCTGTATTCTATGTCTGGATGGAGCTGTTAAGATGAACAAATTGGTGGATATTTGGGGAAAGCAAATCTTAAAACTCATTAACCGCAAAGTGTGAGAAAACAAGGAGGGGTAAAAAGGGACTTACTAGGCAGGGTCATTGTTGTGAAAAGTCTGTAAATGCTTCTAACTCTTCCCCTTCTTAAAATCATAATAGTTGTACAGAATTTTAAAAAGGAAAAGTTTAAAATACCTATATAATAGAAGAAAAATAGAGAAAAGCAAAATAAATAGATTAAAAAAAAAAAAAAAAGATGTGAGTTGATAAGTCCAGTCCATATCCCAGGGGAGGACAATACACAAAGGTGTGAATACTAGGAGGTGCAGAGCCTTCGGGCCATTTTAGTTTGCTTACCACATAATTTCCCCCAATTGTTTCTATTGTTAACAGTGTTGTTATGACTATCTTACTACTTATTACCTGTATTACAAATGATTTCCTGTGATAGATTTTTTGACTAGGTGTGTAAGAACACTGATAGGGTTTGACTGTGTCCCCACCCAAATCTCATCTTGAATTGTAGCTCCCATAATTCCCATGTGTCATGGCAGGGACCCAGTGGGAGGTCATTGAATTATAGGGTTGGGGCTTTCCCATGTTGTTCTCATGATAATGAATAAGTCTCATGAGATCCGATGGTTTTTTAAAGGGGAGTTCTCCTGCACATGCTCTCTTGCCTGCCGCCAAGTAAGACGAGACTTTGCTCATTTGCCTTGTGCCACGATTGTGAGGCCTCCCCAGCCATGTGGAACTGTAAGTCCATTAAACCTCTTTCCTTTATAAATTACCCAGTCTTGGGTATGTCTTTATTAGCAGCGTGAGAACAGACTAATACAAACACCTTAAAAGCTGCCAAAACACACACCGCTTTCTAGAAAGCTCTCCCATTATCAGCATATAAGAGCACCAATCTCAGGCTGGGCGAAGTGGCTCACACCTGTAATCCTGGAACTTTGGGAGGCTGAGACGGGAGGATTGCTTAAGTCCAGGAGTTCAAGACCGGCCTGGGCAACATGGTGAAACCTCATGTCTACAAAAAAAAAAAAAAAAAAACATCCATCAACACATATCTTCATCTTCATCTTCATCTTTGCTGTAAAATTATTTGCTTATGTGTTAGGTTTCCCCTTATTTTAATTTGTCTTTGAGGTAAACGTTTTTCCCTACCCACGTGTTCATGAACCATTTGTATTTTTTCTTTTATGAGTTTTCTATTTTATGTCCTTCGCTCATTTTTCTATTGGGAATTTAGTGTTTTGCTTAGAATTTAGTGTTTTGCTTATCAATGTGTGTGTGCTTCAAATATAAAAAGACATGAACACATATGAAAAGGTAGGATCCTTTTGGTAAAAGCTTTATTGAAACATAATTTACATACCATACAATTTTCAAATTTAAAGTGTACAATTTACTGTTTTTGAGTATACTCGCAGATTTGTGCAACCATCCTCACAATTTTTCTTTAATTTTCTTATTATTTTTTGAGACGGATCTCATTATGTTGCCCAGGCTGGAGTGCAGTGGTGCAGTCTTGGCTCACTACAACCTCCGCCTCCCAGGCTCAAGCAATTCTCCTGAGTTAGCCTCCTAAGTAGCTGGGATTACAGGCACCTGCCACCACACCCGGCTAATCTGTGTATTTTTTTAGTAGAGATGGGATTTCACCATGTTGGCCAGGCTGGTCTCGAACTCCTGACCTCAAGTGATCTGCTGCCTCAGCCTCCCAAAATGTTGGGATTACAGGTGTGAACCATTGTGCCCGGCCCTCACAATTTTAAAACATTTTCATCACCTCAAAGAGAAACCCTATACCTTTTAGCTATCACACCTCTGGCTTCCCCATCTCCTCCCTTAGCCCCCAGCAAAGAATAATCTGCCTCTGTCTCTACGGATTTGACTATTCTGGATATTTAATGTAAATGAAATCATATATCTGTGGTCTTTTGTGTCTGACTCCTTTTACTTAGATAATGATTTCAAGGTTAATCCATGTTGTAGCATATATTACAGCTTCATTTGTTTTTATGGCCAAATGATATTCCATTGCATTGATATATCATATTTGTTTATCTATTCATTTGTTGATGGACATTTGGGTTGTTTCCACTTTTTGGCTATAAGAAGAAAGCTGCAGCCAGGAGTAGTGGCTCACATCTGTAATCCCAGCAATTTGGGAGGCCTAGGTGGGTGGGTCACCTGAGGTCAGGAGTTCAAGACTAGCCTGACCAACATGGTGAAACCCCGTCTCTACCAAAAATACAAAAATTATCTGGGTGTGGTGGTGCATGCCTGTAATCCCAGCTACTCAGGAGGCTGAAGCAGGTGAATCACTTGAACCTGGTAGGTGGAAGCTGCAGTGAGCTGAGACCGTGCCATTGCACTCCAGCCTAGGCAACAAGAGTGAAACTCTGTCTCAAAATAAATAAATAAATAAATAAACAAATAAAATAAAATAAAATAAAAATAAAAGAAGAAAGCTGTTATAAATGTACAATTTTTGTATGGATATATATTTTCATTTATCTTGAGCATAAACCTAGGAGTGGAATTGCCAGGTCAAATGGTAACTTTTATGTTTAGCTATTTGAAGAACTGCCATACTGTTTTCCATAGTGGCTGTACCATTTTACATTCCCACCAGCAATGTGTTAAGGTTCTAGTTTCACCATATCCTTGACAACACTTGTTATGATCGACCTTTCTGATTCTGGCCATCCAGGTGGGTGTGCAGTAGTATCTCACTGTGGTTTGATTTGAATTTCCCTTATGGGAAATGATGTTGACTAATGATGTTGAGCATCTTGGCATATGCTTGTTGGCCATCTGTGTATCTTCTTTAGAGAAAAGTCTCTTAGGACCCTTTGAATAAATAGTTGTTTTTTTTTTAATAAGAGAGACCAGGGCCAGGTTTGAGGCTTGGCTTCCAGCTGTGTCACTTCTTGGTTTCTTAAACTATGAGCTTGTTTTTATGTCTTTTGAGTTGGGTCAATAACACCTATTTCATAAGGTCATTGTGTGGCTGAAATGAGAAAACATGCAGGTAGCATTTAGCAGAGTGCCTGATACGTAGTAACTATATCATAGATGAGAGTTGTTTTCATGATTTTTAAAAAGGTAATAACACAGTAAGAACTATGTTTTCTAAGACCTGGCATTCCCATGTAGGATTTAAAAAAACAAGTTTTCAGGAAGATTAATATGGCCATGTTATATTAAATGGACAGGGACACCAGTTTGGAAATGACCCAAGAGTTTAAGCAAAAAAATAAAGGATATGAGAAAAGAATGTTCTCTGCCCTTCTTTCCTATCACAGACAAGGGTTTCCTCCTGTCCTCAGCCTCAACAGCCCTAGAAAGGAGAGTGATCATGCTGCTTTTTCAAGCTGATCAAGAATTTTTTAGTCATCTTTGTATATTAACTCACCTAATACCTGGGGAAATAGTGATGAATATGTTTTGGACTTTTTGATTAACACATCATAATAATGTGAGGAATTTTAAATGTGTTCATTAACTGTGTTTCTGTGGAAGAAGATGGCACATAAGGCTTTCATAATCTCAGGGTCATTTACATTACAATTAAAACAATTTTATACCATACCTGTGCATGCATTCATTTAGTACATACTTATGAAGCCCTACTATGTGCCAGGCACTGTTTTAGGCTCTGAGAATACAATGGTAAACACAAGGTCTTTGCACTAAAGAAGTTTATATTCTAAAAAGGTGAAACATTCAAAGTCCATTCATTCAACAAATATTGAGTACCAAGTGAATGCTGGACACTATTTTAGATGCGTGGGATGCATTGGTAAACAAAACAAGCAAAATTCCTTGTCCTCATAGGGCTTACATTTCAGTGGGAAGAGACACAATAAATCATAAACATAACAAATAAGGAAACGATATAGTATGTTAGAGGGTTATAGCTGAGCGGGGGTAGGGAGTTGGAATTGCAATTTTTAGATAAGTGATCAGGGCTGGCCCCATTAAGGCATGGAAGGAGGTAAGGGAGTGAGCTATGCGGCTGAGGGAGAATGTACTAGGCAGATGGAACAGCCAGTGCAGAGGCCCTGAGGCAGGAGCATTCCTGGCAGAAATAAGGACTGCAAGGAGTGCAATTAGCAAAGGAAAAAGTAGGAGGAGATGAAGGTAGAGGGGGATTGGAAAGGGAATAGATCAAAGATCCCATAGGGTGTTGTCCAGTGAAGAGGCCACTATTCACATCTGCAACAATTAAGTGCCGAATGTATTTCTTGCTAAGCGGAGGACAGCAGTACTTGTAAGAAAGAGTGTCTCTGAACAAAGGAATCTGTGACTCTTATATAGTGTTTTGGGAAGCATGGGGTTTGGAGGTTGGGGAACTCTTAGAAGCTGGACTGTTTAGAGATGAGTTGACCTTTAGCTGTGAAAGAAGGATTACTAGAGTGTGGCTGTTGCTGATTGGCTAATTTTCAGAAGTAAGTCACTGATCAGGAGATTGTTATTGATTGATTAAAACAGATTCTGGTTGTTTCTGGTCACTATGACCAAAGAACAATCAGTATCTTTTTGTTGTTCAACTTGGAATGAAGGAGCTTGCCACTCTGTCTTGCAAGGCCACTGGACAAGTCTTTATCTTTTACTTTGAGGAAAATGAGGAGTTAACAGGGGAATTTTAAGCAGTGGAGTGACGGGATTTGACTTACATTTTCAGAGGATCTGAAATCTTGGCTGCTGTGTATCAGAGTGGAAGAAGGGAGACAAGTCACTGCAGTCACCCTGATGAGAGATGTATTAGGTTGTTCTCGCGTTCCTGTAAAGAAATACCTCAGACTAGGTAATTTATACAAATAGAGGTTTAATTGGCTCACAGTTCTGCAGGCTGTATAGGAAGCATAAGGCTGGCATCTGCTTCTGGGGAGGCCTCAGGAAGCTTCCAATCATGGTGGAAGGCAGTGTGGGAGCAGGCACTTTATAAGGCCAAAGCAGGAGCAAGAGGGAGAGGGGGAGGCGCCACACACTTGTTAACCACCAGATCCCAAGAGAACTCACTCCCTATCTCGAGGACAGCATCCAGGGCATGATGCTCAACCATTCATGAGAAAGGTACCCCCATTATCCAATTATTTCCCACCAGGCCGCACCTCCAACACTGGGGATTACATTTCAATATGAGATTTGGGCAGAACATACAAATCTTTTCAGGAGATGTGACTTGAACCACGGTGGTAGTAGTGTGGGCAATGAGGAGTGTTTTTTCCCTCTTTTTGTTTTTTTGAGATAGAGTCTTGCTCTGTCACTCAGGCTGGAGTGCAGTGATGCAATCTCAGCTCACTGCAGCAATCTCAGCTCACTGCAGCCTCCACTTCCCGGGTTCAAGTGATTCTCCCACCTCAGCTTCCCGAGTAGCTGGGACTACCAGCATGCACCACCATGCCCAGATAATTTTTGTATTTTTTGCAGAGACGGGGTTTCACCATGTTGGCCAGGCTGATCTCAAACTCCTGAGCTCAAGCAGTCCACCCTCCTCAGCCTCCCAAAATGCTTGGATTACAGACGTAAGCCACTGAGCCTAGCCTGTTTCCATTTTAGATATATGTACTTATAGCCAACAAATAAACAAGATAATCCAGTTAGGCTAAGGGTATTGGAGTAAACATAATCATATTTACTTTTACATAGAATAATATAGCTGGATGACAGGATAGAGAGTAACTGGGTGGGGCTACTTAAGAAGAAGGGATCAGGGAAGTCTCTCGTTGAAGGGGCAAGACCTCAGTGATGAAAAGGAACCAGTGAGGATCTTAAGGCTGGTGCGTGTGTGAGGAGCAATGCATAAGCCAGTGGGTCTAGAGGGTGGTGAGGTCAGGGTTGAGGAAGAGCCACAAGCCGGGTGGGAGAGGGAAGCTGAAGCCAGATCCTTCTAGGCCTCAGTGCATAGAATGGATTGAGAAGAGTGGAGCAAGAGAAGAATCAGGAAGGTGGAAGTGGAGACAATATTCTACTAGACACTGTCCTCATGGGAATTTTACGAGGCCTCGTTGAAGTGATGAAGTAAAATCTAACTGTGAAGTCTTCATGGGGCCAGGGATTCTGTTTCATTGTTTGTTGCCTAGATAAATAGCGATATAAACTAACTGGCAGCTGTGGTGTATAGACTCGAAATAAAGACACTCAATTACCTGTCTCTGACTTTTAATGCAAAGACTAGGTTAGCTGCAGTGTTTTTTCCAGGACTAAATTATGATCTTGGCCTCCCTCTTTCACCAAGACATCAGAAAAATGGTTAACATTTACTGGGGGCTTCCTGAAATAGACACAGAAGGCACAGAGAACACAGGTTGGTTGTCAAGGCAGGATGACCTAGGATCCAACTGCAGAGGATGTGGACTGGGTTCCATTTCTCCTAGAGTTCTGGCTCTCTAGGGTAAGGAGAGTGATTCATTCACCTTTGTAGCCCTGGGGCTCCTAGTACAATGCCTGCAGAACCGTAGGAGCTGATACTACCTTTTAGTGGAATTTGAATTAAGTACGTAGTTTAGATACACAGTACTGAAATGATAAACTCAGAAAAGTAGTCATCTTCACATCTTTTGGTTCACCATTCATAATTGGAAGAAGGATTAGTCATCCTTCTCCCAATTCTATTACTTGTGTTTTTATATTTCCTGCCCTTGAACCTTTGAACACATCATTTCACTCCTAAATCTCCACTATGGGTAAGCATAGAGAAAGGGAGAAATTAAACTCAGGCCAATTCTTCCTTGTTTTTTTTTTGTTTTTTGTTTTTTTTTGTTTTTGTTTTTGCAATTAACACTTTTTAAATGTTTGATGAAGATTGAAGAAATTCATGCTATATAAAGATCTTAGGATAACTTTTTTTTTTTTTTTTTTTGAGACGGAGTCTTGCTCTGTCACCTAGGCTGGAGCGCCATCTCGGCTCACTGCAACCTTGGCCTCCCGGATTCCAGCGATTCTCCTGCCTCAGCCTCCTGAGTAGTTAGGATTACAGGTGCCCATCACGACGCCCGGCTAATTTTTGTATTTTTAGTAGAGACGGGGTTTTGCCATGTTGGTCAGGCTGGTCTTGAACTCCTGACCTCAGGTGATCTGCCCGCCTCGACCTCCCAAAGTGCTGGGATAACTTTTTTTTTTTTAAGGACTTTCTATGTATACATTATCCCAAATGACCCTGAGAAGCAGACATTTGGGCAAGATCACAAGCCAGTAAGAAGGGGAGCTGGAATTCAAGTCAGGTTGTCTGATGACAGTGGCATTGCTACTTACTCCTCTTTTCACAATTTGGGGCTTTCATTTGTCCTTTCTTCCATACTTGCCCCAGAAATGTTTAAATACTCTGAGAAACAGTGGGAACTCTATAAATAAAAGATCTCTCTGTATTTTTACATAATCAAAGCTAGAGAGTTTAATGTGGCGCAGGCCACTCGGTTAGTGGAAGCAGAGGGCACGCCATCCCCAGCTCCAGTTGCAGTGAGTGGTGTTGGATTACCCACCTCTGGGATGGTCACTGCTGAGCGAAGCTGGACCCGGGACTGCAGTCAGAGAAAGCGAAGGAGCTTGGCTGCACAGAGGCAAGAACGGGCCACGGATTCTTGCAGCCAAAATGTCATCTGGTTGGGAAAAGCCGCTTGGCAATTTGCAGCTACTAGAGGGGCGGGGGTGGGTGGAAAATGCAGCATCTTAAGTTCCAGATTCAGGGTGAAGGCTGGCTAGACTTAGCAGGGGTCTGCATCTTTAGATGAGATGTGAAAAACACCCAAGCTCAGGGACCAAATGACAGGGAGCGCTGTGCCTGCAGCGACGGTAACAGGGACCCAAGGAAAGAAAACACGAGGCGCTGAAGGCGCTCCAAGAGGTCCCCGCCGTTCAGACTCTCCCCGTGGCCCGGGCGCGTCATCCTAGGGGGCGGCTTCTGTCCTTGGTGTCCCCGTCTTAAAAATCCAGGCGCAGGCAGGCTGAGCTCGGGCGGCTGAGACACCTTCACGTGGCGGGGGAAGGGGTGACAAAGAGAGGGAGGCCCGAGAGATGCCGCTTGGCACAGGCCCGGGTCAGCACAGGGAAGAAGGCCCGCCTAAACCCGAACAGCGCGCCCGGGCCGGGCCCTAGAAGACCTCGCGCCAAGAGGAGCGGGATCCGGAGCTGCGCTGCGGCCTCATAGGAGCGCGGGGCGGGGCCGGGGGCGGGGCGGGGCGGGGCGGAGCCGCGGCGGGCGGGCGCGCGGGCGGCGCGGAGGGAGGGTGTCGCGCCGAGGGAAGCGGCCCGCGGCGGAGGGAGGGGAGGCCGAGTCCTGGAAGCGGAGCTCCGCGCTGGGACTGGTTCCTTCGCAGCCATTTTCTGTCCAACCAAACAGCCGATTGGAGACGGGAGCCAACCAGGGCTGCATTGGAGGTTTGTGTCTCGCTTCGGCCAATGATCGCTCCTAAACCGACTCCACTTTAGCTCGAATGAAATGTCCGTCTCCTCCCGGCGCCGTCCCCGCCGCCAACGCCGCAGCGGCCGGGGGCACTCGCCTCCCGCCCTCCCGCGCGGGCTGGCGCGGGGCCCCGCCTGCGAGGCCGCTCCCGCAGCGGCCGGCCGGAGCGGGGCGGGGCGGCGCGGCTCTTTGTGCGCCGGGCTGAGGAGCGCGGGACGCGGGCCAGGCGCTCCCGCTCGCCGCCGTTGAGCCCGGGCCCGGGCCGAGAGGGCGCGGGGCTGCGTCGGGGCCCGCTCTCGACGGCTTCCCGGGCGGCTCCATTTTGTGCGGGGAGCCGGCGGAGGGGCAGGAGACGCGGCGCGGCCCTGGCCCCGTAGCCCCGGCCGCGGGCGGGCCCCCGGGGGCGCCCCTCCCGCCGCGGCTGTGGCGGGGCCTGTCCTTTGGTCTCCCCGTACATCCCGAGGGCCGCGCGGCGGGCGGGAGGCAGGCGTTGGGCGCGGGGGCCGGGGCGGCCAGGCGAGTCAGGGGATGCGCTCTGGGGGCGGCCTCCCGGCACTCGCAGGGCTGACAGGTCGCCCGGACCGGGCCGTGAGGCTGGGGCCACCCAGGCACCTGCGTGGGGAGGAAGGCATGGCTTTGGCTTCCCCGCAGTCTGGTTTGCGCGTAAAGAATGCAGCCATCTGGCGGCTTGCGGTCCCAGGACTTGCCCCGAAGGTGGGAAGGAAGCCCTTTGGATTGGACTAAGGTTTTAATCATTAGTGGTGGGAGGCGGGAGGATATGCAGGGCCTTAAGGAACGGTAGTCTTAGAGAACAAAGAATTACAGAGCACCCACAAATCATAATCTCGCTCAAAGCACTCTAACAGGATAATTTAAACAAGGTTAGGTAGCCTGCGACCTTTAAAAAAAATGGCATCCCACTAACCCGCATGGACCCCATAGTTCCGTGGTTCGTGCCACAAATCACTGGGGTGGTTTCATCTCTCTTAGTATGGAAACTAATCAGCAACATAAAGTGATGAAAGCAAACGGATCAATATCAGTGGCACTAATCAGTGGGGGTTTTATTTGTAAAGTATTGAAAGTTTAACCAAAATTCCTTAAAAGGCAAATTATTCCTTCTCTGCGCTGCTCTTGTATCTTAATTTAAGGATTACTGTATATTGATGCAAAACTCTGGTTGTTGATGCCAAAGAATGGAGGGTGGAGGAAGGGACTACTGCTTTTCTTGGATACAAATTTGCATTTCTTCAAACATTAAACAGATGTATGCATTCCCTTGAGCTTTTGCATATATCAACCTGCCCTTAAGAAAATATATACCATATGAAGTGGCCGTGTTTTTCTTTAATGTACTGAATCTAAATATATACTGAATCAACTATTTGGGTGAGGGAGTGTGGTGTGACTCCCCTGTCCATACCCCCCTCCCCCATTCCAAGCAAAATACATAAATATAGCTCCCATATTTTAAGTGTTCTGAGGGCTTATTTTTTCAAAGACACCCTTTAAAAAAATAACATTTCTCGTTACAAGGAAGGACTTTTCTGAGCAGTTTTGGGGTTAGAGGATACTATTAATATTTGAAAATAAATTATAAGTTACTTTTAATATTATAGCAAATGTCAAGCAGTCTTTGCTACCTGGACCCTTTTAGTGGCATTAAAAACATTCAATTCAGTGGCTACAATTTTTTCTGCTGTGTGCTAGATTTCATGCTTGGATGCGTATCAGTATGTCTTCTCCCTTTAAAATTAACACTGAAAGGATGTGTTTTTGTTTTGGCATCCTACCCCTCACCCATTTAATTGTTTCCTTTGAAAAAGAGAAGGGAACAAATGAGAAATGAAACTTGTAACACTGCAATTGATACTAATTTGTTCAGCTATTTATGCCTTACAGTGAGACTGAAGTGCTATTTCAATGCAATTTTAGTCAAAAATGGTAGTGCTTCAAAATTATAAATAAGGGTCTTGATTGTGTTGCTTTTTTGATATCCTCTCAGTGCAGAATGTATCTTCATTACAGTATAATCTGAGATTCTTAATTGGAAAGCATTATATTCTCAGATAATTTTTTCCTCCTTTTAAGTGATAGAATGCCTAAATGTTACTCTGAAACATGTAAGAAAACCGCCACCAAAAAATTAAGTTGATAAGGGGTGTATTTGCGTCTTGGGTGTTAATGTTTTAAGTGATTTAGATGTATAATTTTTGGCGTCTTACGTATTATATAATTTGATGCCTATTTGGTGTATTGTAATGAATGTTTATGATGAATATGGCTAAATTCAGGGTTATGTTGGAAAATCCATTTTCTCCTTTCCCCATGGAATTAACTTGTTTGTAAGTTCTCCAAAATAAATCTTTCAAGTCAACAAACATTTATTGGATGATGCCTTTTTATACTGTTTTATACCATGCACTCCATGGATTATGAATCGTAGTCAAAATTGTACATGCCCTCTTTAATTTTATGAGAAAAAAAGCCTGTAAGTGATACATTTATTATATTTTTTACTACTGATAGATGTTAGGTCCTAATAGATGTTTATCTTTTAGGTTGAAATCACAAAGATTAGACACCTTTTTAGACAGGTATTCTTCAGCACCACTGACAACACGGTTCTGACAGTATTTCATGACAGTAAGTATGTTTTACCATTTTGGTTGTTAATTAGGTTTGAATAGTAATTGGCTGGAAATAAAATTATAACTGATTTATACTGGAGGTGCCTGGTAGAATGAATGCGTTTCAAGTCTAGTCAGACAGTACCTCTGCTCATTCCTGTTGCTTCCTTATTTTCATCTTCTTGCATATATTATTTCCCATGGGTCCCTAAGTGCTGTTGAGGCTACAGGGTAACCTGTCCCGGCTGTAAAGGGGCTGTCTGTTTAGCCAGTTAATTGAATACTTAGGGGACAGTTATGCCCAGAATGGAAAATGCTAACTCTTAAGTGCAGTAGATGTGGGAAGAAGAAAGGCATGATGGGCCTGGATACTTGGGAATGTCACAGAGGGATCCTGCAGACCTTGAACTGAGCGTTGAAATAGAGGGTGGGAGTGGATTGGTGAAGGGTATCACCAAAAGCAAAAGCCTGGTGGCAGGATGGGCAACTTAAGTTTAGGGGATCGGGAGTAGAGGTGCATGGTCCAGGGTAGATCTCAAAGGATAATGTAGGAAAGAGAAAGCACTTGTCCCTTCTGGATATTTAATTCTGGATGTGCTACTGTATCTCTAACCTGGGGCGGGCGTGTTACAGCTTTGGGCCAGCCATGGTTGCTTCACTCCTAAAATGAAAGAAATGCACTCAGCGATCCCTAAATAAAGCACATTCTAGCACAAAGATTTTTATTAACCATGAAGATAGAGAGAAGTAGGAAACAAGTTTGATTACGTTAAATGTGCGATCTGCTCATGTGAAGTCACGAAAATGAGGTTTGGATTTGACACAGGAGGCCTTTAGGAACCTTTGAGAATAGGTTCAAGAGTATAGAAGTGGTGTTGTGGTGAGATTAGCCTTACAACAGTATGTTAAGATGGGCTGGGGTAGTAATCCAGTGGAAACAGGAAAGGGAAAGCATATCTAGGAGACATTTTTAGAGAGGTAATAGATGAGGTAGAGCTTGAAGGAGATGGAAGAACCCAAGATGATGCTGGTATATTTAGCTGGGCAGCGTGAAAGACTGGTATTCTTCTTAGCAGAATTACGGTAGTGGAAAGGGAAATCTCCCTCCTTGCCCCCTTGCAGGGGATGGGGAAGGTGACTTTCATTTCCCAATATCTTAAATTTGCAGTGATGGGATATTAGACATGCTGTACAGGCATGGGTTGCTTGAGTGGCAAGCAGGATATTGGTTGTAGATTTGGAATATATGAGCATAGAAGTGATACTTAGTGAGTTCATTAAGATAAGGGAAGAAAGAGAAGGAGAACCTTGGGTGATGTTAACAATTAGGGTGGGGAGGAAAGAATATCGCTTTGGAAATCAGAGCAGGAGAGAATTCCAAGCATAAATATATGTGGCCAGCAGTAGCCAGCACTACAAAGAACAGTCAAGTAGGATGAGGACAAGATCACTGGCAGCTTTGAAGAGTGGTTTCATTCTGGATTGGGGTTAAAAAGTACATGTTCAGGAGTTTAAATAGGAATGAAGAGGTTTCTTAACAACTGTCAGGGCAAGGATGGTAGCTAGGCGAGGGTATGGGGCAGAATTAAGATTTTATATATCTCTGTGTACTTCTGTGTGCTTAGTGAGGGAGACTAAGCATGTTTAAGGAAGAGTGAAGGAGCTGGTAAGGAGGATCGAAGATACATTAGAGAAGAGGAATCTTTATATTTCTTATCCTCAGAGAGATAAAAGGAATGTAACCCAGAAAACAGATAAAAGAGTAAATTAAGAGAGAGGAATCTCTGCCTGGAAGAATAATGAGAACCGTATTTGAGGGGGCAGTATTAAGATTACATTTGTCGAGTTCTGACTATGTATCTTGCACTTTGCTAAGTACTTTTTAATACAATAGCTTCCTCATAGTAACATCACTTTAAAAATGGGGAAGCTGAAAACACAAAGAGAACTCATAAACGGGGAGCTAAGCTTCAAACCCACGGAATTGGTCCTAAGAGCCAGTGCTCCTCACCGTTGTCCAGGTTGCGCTTCTTTACCATCTCACAAACACCATCCTGGTTTGAGAAGCTAATTTCAGTGCTTTCAACGTATAATCAGTAGCC